GTGTGATTTGAAAAGATAAATCTAATGTAGAGGTTCTTAGGTTTTTTTCCCTTCCCCAAACTCTGACCCTTGCCACCTTGTCAGGACCTTTTCCAGGGTGGTTTGAATGCAGTAGTCAGCTAAGGGTCCCATGTAGCATACATTCTAGAGACAAGAAATGAAGACACCACCTGCACAGTGTGTTAGAAGATGGGGTGACTGTGTGAGCCATGCACGTGAATGCCAGTCCCGCCTCTCTGCCTCCCCGTAAAACATCACAGTAGCATTCCCAGCCCACAGGGGATCTGGGAGAAAGGAAGACCATTTAGAGTGAGCATTTAGAGTGCAGCCCAAGCGCTGTAAGCACCCCTGTGTGTGTTTAATAAAAAGGTAACTGCTAAGCCAGGTGTGCTGGCACACACCCTTAATCCCAGAGGTAGGTGGATCTCTGAGTCCAAGGGCAGTCTGATCTACATAGTGAATTCCAGGATGACCAGGGCTATGTAGAGAGACTGTTAGGATAGATTTTAAAATGCCATGCTGTCAACAGAAGGAGATTGATTTGGCGGAGGGAAAGGGAGAGGAGAAAGAGGAGCATGTGCCCCCTCCTCCCAGAGAGAAAAATCAGAGAGGCTGAAGCAGAGAGAGAGAGAGAGGAAGGGGGAGGGAGAGGAAGGGTGGGAATGGCAGATGGGTTATATCTGAAGCACCTGGTGATGACATAGGACACAGGTGGTGACAGAATGCAGTCAGAACCCTCAAGGCCCCTGAGGACAGACCAGTTGAATTGCCTGCACAATATAACAGAGACCCTTTCTCAAAACAAATAAACAAACAAATAAAAAAGAAGTAAAAGGAGAAAGCATTAAGGATTAGAGCTGGATGGAAAGTAATATGTGTACTTACTGATCCCTGAAAAGGTGACATTGAGTAAAGACCTGAGGGAGATCAGGTGATAAACTGTAAATGTTGCTCCAAAGCAGAGGGAGTAGTGAGGCCACAGAACAGAGTGACTGACTTCTGAAACCTGGTAGGGATTGCCAGCACAGCTGGAGTGCTGGAGAAAGAGCAGCCTGTGAGGTCAGAACAAAGCAGTTGGCCAGAGCCTGCAAAGCTGGAGATCGCCGGAAGACTTCAGTATTTGTTTGAAGAGCATGGGCAAACTGGGAGATTTTGAGTCCTGACTTGATGTGATCTGAGTTCTGGGTGTGTCAGCCTCAGGGAAAGAATCTGTGCCTGTGGTGTTGGGAAAGCACTAGGGAGTCCTCGGGTGGAGCTTCAGGGAGAAGGCAGTGCAGATAAGAGGTTAAGAGCCGAGCAGATCCTGGAACAGTGGTAAGTGAAAGGGACAGGTTTTAGGTAAGCAGGAGTTCAGGGAAGGATTCTAAGAAGTTGGATAGGAAAGATGACAAGACAGGGAATTTGAGTAGCTTGGAATGAGAATCAGGACAAAGTAGAGGAGTGGTTGGGATTAAATAGCATGGGGAGTGCCTTTAAAAATGTGGCTCACAGTAGCTCACAGCATCCAGATGGAGATATAGGGATTGAGGGTAGACTAGACGTTGCATGACTCAGAGGAGTTGCGTTGAAGAGACAAGTTATTTGATAAGTGCTGTAGCTATGAGGCTGAGCTAGAAGCATTAAGAGGGAGTGGAGTCAGAGCAGGAGCAATTAAATTGTGGAGAGAATGGAGTCTAGGCAGAATTTTGGGGGACTCGAGCACAGACAGCTTTAGTCCTACCAAGTTTGGTCCTGCAGAGCCGAGGATCCCCAGCAGGACTGCAGAGTTGTGAAGCTGACCAGGCTGTGAGATTATTGAGGGTGTGAGGGATTGTATCTGTCGGGCTCCAGCAGCTTGGAAGGAGTCCCTGGCTTTGTGATAGGAGGGCTGGGGCCTGAAGGAAAAGTGAGAATGGTGACAGGAATGGAGCACCATCTGAGGACAGGACGCTTTGCATGGTACTTCGTCCATTTTGTCCATTAAAGCAAATGAACACATGCTTCTGATTCCCATTGAGTTAATCCTGCTTAACTCCCCCCACCCCAGATCTTTAACATCTCAGTGCTATAATAATTTCATGCCCTGAAATGTTGAGGTTACAGTAGTGCTTCTAATAATTGTGCCAGGCTCTTATCATCTCTTGACTGAGGCCTGGATTTCTAGCAGCATGAAATTGATGTGCAAGCATGCTGGCGGTAACCTAGTAATCTCCACATAGGGATTGCAGTCAGATTGTATGGCCGAGTTTAAGCATGTACTTGGTAGAACTATAGACATTTTATTTGATTGCACTGTTCCTGATTTTTCTCACCCTGAACCAGAGGGGCTCTGACTCCATGAAGATCCCAGCTCTGATTCTGTCATCGTGGATGACAAGAACTGACTTCCACAACATTGCCTGGACCTTGGCCTTTCAGTATGGGGAGGTGAGTGGTGGGCTTCATCACTAGCCTGTAAGTCCTGAGGTTCTGATGCTGAAGAAACGGGTCTTAAGAGAGAAAATCTAAATCCCAAGAGAGAAGTATTCGAAGTTATGTTATAGTAGACTAAAACCATTGTTTCTACAGAGCCTAGAGGGGCACTTTGCACAAAAAGAAAGTAGACAGGTGAGCTCTACAGAGGTCGGTGTGAGTTGTAGTTTAGGCCTGCATCTTTAGATTAACATTAGTACAGGATGGCTGTCGAGGGCCTCTGGAGTTCCGAAGCAGAAGACACATGCCATGGAGTGTCCTCAGAACTCTATGAAGGGAAACTGAGTGGAAGTTTCCAGCGAGTTGACAGGATAGCCTTCAGTGAGGGGTTTTAGTCCATGAAGAAATCTTCAAAAGAAAAAAGACAGAAACTATGAAATAATAAAAAATTTACCCTAAAGGTCGTGCCTGCTCTACAGTTTGCTTCTCTTTCGTGGCATAAATTGAAACCCTTTCTGTTTGTAAAACATATCTCAAAGGAATCTTTCTAAAATCATGGGACTTATCAGAGTTCCCTTATTGACTTCATTATGTAAATACTGTTTTTCCCATTACTAAGTCATCGGGGAGAAATTTACTTTAGAATTGCATGTTAAGAAAATCTCACTCGTCCTAAGCCTGACTCATTAATGCACAGTGTTTAGTCCATTAGGCTGCTGGCATTTATGGAGTAGCTTACAGCATGCCTTTTCTGTATCCTCAGTCTCCCTTTGGTGTCATCATCCTTTAACTGGATTTCATTATAGATTTATGTGTTTATCTGACTAAACTTATGAACTGGGATTTGAAAAAAGGCAGGATGTTTTTGTAATACTCCCAAGAAAGGGGGGAAATGGAGGAATATTATAACTAGCAGGGAGTCTTTCTCCTTATGGCATTTTATAATAATGTGCTCCATAGCCAAGCATCAACCTGGAGCATACTAAGTGCAGGCAGAGCAGACAGGAAGCAGGGGAGCCCATGCTGAACATCTGTTCAGGTGAGACCAGGTCTCCTCCAACCATGTTGCCTTAAAATCTGCTTCTTTGGAATTTCAGGATTGGCATTTCCTGTCTCTTTCCTGCTTCTTGGCATTTTAGCATCTCTCCAGTGGGCTGTCCTCGAATTCTGAACACCAACTTACGACAAATCATTGTCATTAGCATCCTGGCTGCAGCTGTCTCCCTTTTATACTTTTCTGTTGTCATAATCCGCAGCAAGTATGGGTGGCTGTCGAGGGACAAGAAATTTCAAAGGTAAGAGACACAGACTTTGTGTCATACCTCTGGCTGACTGTGTTCCAGCTGCTGTAACAGAACACTATGTGGCTTCCATAGGCTCATAGAGTTGTATTTCTCACAGCTCTAGAGCAGCAGTTCTCAACCTGTGGGTCACAATCCCTTTGTGACCTTTTCACTGGGGTTGCCTCAGACCAGTGGAAAACACAGATATTTACATTATGATTGATAACCGTGGCAAAATTCCAGTTATGAGTAGCAATGAAATAACTTTATGCTCACCACCACATGAGGAGCTATATTAAAGGGTCCCAACTTTAGAGAAGTTGAGAACAACTGGTCTAGAGGCTGGGAAGCCCAAGAGCAAGTACAGCAAAGTTTGTATCTGGAGGGCTGTGTCCTGTTCTCACATGGGAAGGGTAGGGCAGCTCTGTGTCTCCTTTCTCCAGACCTGATCACTCCCCAGAGGGCGGTACTGCCCACATGGTGAGACTCACAGCAGATGAGCCTCAGAGGGGAGGAACAGTCAACTCTGAAATGGCACATGAGGAACATGAGGCTGTAGAAACCAGACCCTGTGCTGACTAATAAATTAGACTGTAGAAGTGCCTGGTCCTGTGTCGTCAGAGGCCCTGGCATAGTCACACAATCAGGAGCCCCTTCTGTCTGTTTTAAGCTAGGTTCTGAGAATGAACTTGGATACTGTTTTCTCTTTGTGGGGTATGTTCAGGAGAAATGAGCAGGTACCAGAGTTAGAGGTTCCCTCTGGGCAGCATTTGTTTGGCCTTCTTTTGACTCATCATGTGGCCATGGAGGGAAAGCCAGAGAGAGATCATCACACATCATGGAGGTCACTGATACAGTGCATCTGTGGTGAGCCTTTCCTGTTAGAGCACAATGGTGCTGTGTTTAAATAACCCATGTGTTTCTAAACAAGGTACTTGGCCCGAGTCACAGACGTTGAGGCTACGGACACCAACAACCCCAATGTGAACTATGGCATTGTGGTGGACTGCGGCAGTAGTGGGTCTCGGATATTTGTCTATTGCTGGCCTCGGCACAACGGCAATCCTCATGACCTGCTGGACATCAGACAGATGAGAGACAAGAACCGAAAGCCAGTGGTGATGAAAATTAAACCCGGTATGAGATAAGAAGGCTGAGGACTGGAACCATGTTCTGGGCTCCAGTATTGTATGATACCTCTCACTTCCTCTCACTCAGCACTACCTAACCCTGCTTCCCAGTTCAAGGCAGGGCCTAACAGCTGACTTCATTTCACTTTCCGTTTCCTTCTTTCTCTGTTTTGTATATGTGACCAACATCTTGATCAAACACCCACAGCCTATTTTTTTGGTCACCTGTGGCCATCATGATGGTAGCCCCATGATGTCTGCTTACATGCTATTTAACACTGCCATGACGATTTTGTTTTGTTTTCTTATTTGGTAGCTCTTCCTTAAAGACAGACATTTTCAGATAACTTGAAAATCTGTACTTTAAATATTAACGTATTATTTGTTTAAATATTGATGTATATTAGTTTTTTACAAAATCACTGCCCAGATACCTATCTTCCTCTCTTTTCCTTCTCTTTCCTGTCTCTATCCTTCCCTCTCTCCCGTGCCCTTTTCTCTTTTGTGGTGCTAGTACTGACCCTAGGAGTCACATTTGTTAGACAATGCTCTACCACCAAGTTGTATCCCCAGCACTCTTTGTTTTTGAGACAGTATTTTACTAAGACACCCAGGTTGACCTTCATCGTATAATTCTTCTGCCTCAGGTCACTAGACTCCACTTGCCCAGATTTGTTTTTTATTATTTATAAGGGCAGCCTTGGGACTTGAAAAGAGTGAATGTAACAGCGAGGTAGTGGCGCACACCTTTAATCCCAGCACTCAGGTGGATCTCTAAGTTCGCAGCCAGCCTGGTCTACAGAGTGAGTTCCAGGACAGCCAGGGCTACACAGAGAAACCCTGCCTCAAAAAACCATGCCCTCAGTTTCTAAAGACAGGGCCGTTTCACTTCTAAGCGAGTGTGAAGTGTGAAATCAAGCCTTGGCTTCCTCATTAAGTAGCTTAAGCAGCAGGCTCGCACCTTCTCAGGAACTCTGTCTCTTGTCTGTGGTTGCTACCCTCTCAGAAGCATTGGGAATGGGGAATTTCAAAATGAGCTTGCCGTGCCTAATTCTCAATAAGCTCTGATTTAAGACAGTAGGCTACAGAGCATAACAGAAATACTGAACTTTTATCTTCTCTCTCACAAGTACGGGAGTGCTAAAATATTACTCTCCAGTGAGTTTATCCCTTCAAATGTTAGAGAGACACAGAGAAATGGCAAGTGTTCAAAGAGATGGGCATGCTAGTTGCTCCCTTTGATTGTTTTACATTTTGTTCATGTGTCGACCATCATGTTATACCCCCAAAATACAGATAAATTATAATGTGACATAAAAAGTTTAAAATGGAATATTGATAAGGAATAACCTCTTTCTGAGAAGTGTAAATAACATCGGTGGATTTCCATAAACAAAGATTTTAATATTTAGTAGTAACTTTTCATTTTCCATTCTTCTGTCTCTTAAAATTGTATGTACACTAAATCTAGAAGTAGCTTCAAGATTAACATAATGTTACTCATATAAAGCTGTAACAGGAGCCTCAGAACTAAGGCTCACTAAAACACTTTGCCTTTCCACAGCCTCATGTGACAGCTTCCAGCACTTGCTGGACACCTCCATGGAGTGGGGTGAACGCAAGTCCTTATGGAGTGTGTTGTAGTAAATTAAAAAAAAAAAAGAGTGTTGGGTTATATAATGTTTATCATTAGCCCTAAGATTATCATGGCGGTATTGTTTAACCCGCTATCGCAAATAATAAGATACAGGCACCTGTTAGATTTATAATTAATTGCCTTATTTACCTTGGGCCAGGCAGATATTTCTACCTTACCATTCACCTGTCAGCCCCCATCCAATGTCATCTGCCTTGATCATCCTCATCTGAACTATCTTCTGTCCATAATCTTATACTTTCTTGCATTCTCCATCCATGCCATCCTCAGAGTCCTTCATTCTCGCCCATGTGGTTCCTTCTCCACCTAACCCATCATAGTGTCCTCCTTCCTCTCTTCCTGTCTGTCTGGTCTGTATGATTCCCGTGATTCTCTCTGAATTCAGCCACCCCCCCAACCTTAGCCACACCTACCCCATTCTGCCCTGCCCAGGTATAGGCCATTTAATCAACCAATCAAGTATGTCTTAGGCAGGGTTACAAAACAAGGATAGGTGTAACCAGATCTTGAGGGTCATTAACATGCATCAGACCAACCTCCGACAGAGATGTATGCCAGGATCCAAGTCACAGCTGGCTTCGACATTCTCAGCTGAGTGAAGCAGCCTCACTGAGGTGGACACTAGAATCTCAGTTAGATTTGGCTTAGTGCTGTTCTTACCCAGATGGAAATCAGTGTCCCTTTTTATAGCAGTTTTCTGTCGTGACTCTTAGTCTCCCAGTGTTAATATAAGCAAGGTTCTAAGCATATTAAAAATAGATTCTGGTTAGCCTGGGATTTGGTTTTCCACTGAAATAGCTTTGTATGCATAGTCAAGAGTTTTGCCTTTAACTCCATTTTCTGCTCTTTCCTTTCACATACTTTCTGGGTCTCAGCCTCCACAATATTGTAGGCTGTATTCCACAATGACAGCTGTAAATATTCATTTACTGTTTAAAAAGATGTATTTATTTATTGTGTGTGTGCCTGAGTGTGTGTATGTGCACCATATGTATGTGAGTGCTTAGGGAGATCAGAAGAGGGCATTGGAGCTCCTAGAACTGTGGCTGAGAGCCACGTGAAGTGCTGGGAACCAAACCTGTGTCCTCTGCAAGAGCAGCCAGTGCCTTAACTGCTGAGCTGTCCCATTCACTTCTAATAATAAATATTGAACAGATGTTTCTGAGTACCTCTACTTGCCAGGCACTGTTAAGTGCTGGGACATGAACTGAACGGGACATATATGTGCCCTTGACCAGTTGTAGTGAGACAAATAAGTAAACAGTGTGGTGTGATGAACAGATAGCCAGCAGTGGGGTGGGCACAGGCTGTAAGGAGAGCTAGGCCCCCTTAGGGCTCAGCTGGGGAGATTTCTGTGGAAAATGGAGCTGACTGGGCATGCAGAAGTTGACTGGGTAAAGGAGGTAGGGAAGAGAAGGCTCCTGCAGGAGACTCAGAATTTCGTAGGCCAGAGCAGGAAGCACTGCAGAAGTAGCTAGTTCAGTGCTTTAAGGTGAGGGGAGATAAAGATGGGCCATTGTGTGAGTAGCTGTGTATCTCTGAGCTGAGTTTGTCTGGCTTGGTTAGAGGAGCCATAGAAGGGTTTAAAACTAAGAAAATACCATCCTTGGGGTAAAGGATGAAGGAACTGGTAGAGACTGGAAGGTAGTGAGTTACAGTAGGCCAGCAGCAGATGGTGGTGTTCAAAGAAACAAGAAGAGAAGTGGTCAGTGAAGGCAGAAGGCACTCTGCACTGTGCATGTGAGGGACTTTACCCAGGATGCCAGCCTGGGCACTGGGGTAGGGAACAAGCAGCAAAAACAGATCTGTAGTGCCAGTTGTAGAATGCATGTCATGTTGGGGGTGTCCGTGAGGACAGGCGGTGACGATGTGCATTAGACAGTCACCTTGAACTAATCTGAAGGTTGGGAAAGAGCACTACGATCTGAAGGCCTGAGAAGAGAGGGGCACGTTTCTCAAGGGCAAGAATGTGCTCCTGTGTGGGACACGGTAGATACTCAATTGGATCAATACCCTGATGACAGAGAGGAAGGCATGGAACGGAGCCCTTCATGCCACAGCAGAGTGTGTAGGAGCAGAGGAATAGGCAGAACTAGGAGAGTACAGCGTGAAGCCTGAATTTCTCCCAGATTCGGCACACTAAAGACATTTCCTCTTCGCTCCACTGTGTCCCTACTAACTCACTGTCTGTTTCTGCAGGCATCTCAGAGTTTGCTACCTCTCCAGAAAAAGTCAGTGATTACATTTCTCCGCTTTTGAGCTTTGCTGCAGAACACGTGCCACGGGCAAAACACAAAGAGACTCCTCTTTACATTCTCTGCACAGCTGGAATGAGGGTCCTTCCTGAAAGGTGATCTTCCACAGCCTAAAGCGTGGTGCTTGGGAGGGGTGGCTTCCTGCTCATTGTCACTATCATCATCACAGCACTGAAAATCCTTTCTTGAGTTTGAACTAGTCCCAGAGCCATTCTTCTAGACAGACCTCACCAAAAAGCTTTTAATCTACTTATTTGTGACTATAAAGTATAAGGTTAACTTTGCTAGGGGCCCAGTGAAGAGTCTTATATCCCAAGTTGGCCTCCAACTATAAATATGTAGCTGAGCTTGACCTTAGGTTTCTGATCCCTCTGCCTCCCGCCTTCTTAGTGCTGGGACTGTGGACTTACACTCCCACACCCAGTTTATACAGTGCCATGGATGGAGCTCAGGGCTTGGTCCCTGCTGGATGGACAAGCATTCCTCCCACTGAGCCAGAAATCACGTGATCATAACTTTTTCATCTGGAAAGAACATTCCTGAGATAAGCAATCTTTTCAATGACTTGCTTTTGTTTTGCAGTTAACTATTTCATGTAGGACATAATGAACCAGGGTTTTTTTTTGTTTTTGTTTTCAAAACAAAAAAAAAAAATCGAGGCTATGATTTTGACTAAATTTTGGATTGCATTAAAGCCAGCAGAAAGCAATTCTGGAGGACCTCCTGACTGATATCCCTGTGCACTTTGACTTCCTGTTTTCTGACTCCCATGCTGAAGTCATCTCAGGAAAACAAGAAGGTTGGTATTAGACCTTCAGTTTCAAGTGTCTGAAGCTGCTCCTTCAGAGGCTCCTTCCCCACCATGCATTATATACAATCACTGGAAACCGTAGCCTTGAGATACTCTTAAAATACTAAATTAGTTTTTTTATATGGCAAGTCTTTATTTTACAACCCTAACTGTTAAACATAACTAATCTGTGATTACCACATGTAGGGGATGTATTTTGAAGAGACTGATGGAGGAAGTCTGTGTTTCTTGCCTACCTGATAGAGCTTTCTGGGCCATGAACCTCTGACTGACTTCTAGCAAGGAAGAATTCTTGCCTTTGGTGAACTGAGAAAATATAAGTTCTGTTTCAGAGAAATTATTTCACTTGAAATTATTTAATAGTCAGTGAAATGATTTGCTAGAAGCAGAGACCCACAAGTACGGTAGCAGAGACCTAGACATGCAGTATCTATTCCGACGTCACTCACCACTCCAGCAGGTGTTCCTATGGAAAGGCACCAGCTGTTCCCTATGGAAAGACACTGGGAAATGCAGAGATGGGCAGATCAGCCAGGAAATCCTTATAGACAAATATGGCTCTCAGAATTATAAGAGGTCACTTTTGGTGCCCGAAGGAAGATACAGAAAAAATACCCTGAAACTGTGAAAGAGAAAGGCCTCTCTCCCTTCCTCTGTCCAGCTAGGACTGGTTCTAAGTGGAACCTTTGAGAAGAGAGTAAGGGCAGTTCTTTGTAGGTGGAGGAAGCATGGTCCAAGCAGAAGAAATGATCACTGTTACTGCAGGTGGGAAGGGATGACACAGTGGACCAACATAGGTTTTTACTCGGCCGATCATGGCCCTGTGGAAAAGTGGTGGTGATGTTGAAAGCTGGATACATCTTGACTTAGCAGCCTGTTTCTTTGAACTTTGTTTTATGGACCAGCCTAGCAGAATAGTTCAGAGGAGGTTGCCATGGGAGATTGAGGAGCTTGTCACCTCCACCACATAATGACACAAATCAAGGTGGCAGTGGAGATGGGTAAGAATGAGCCATAGAGAATGCTGACAGGTATAGACTGAGACCTGGCAGCTGTCTGGGTGACAAAGATACAGGAAAGATGAGAGAAAGTTAGTATGGAATCCCTGCAGAGTTTACATTTTCAACACACCTGATATAAAGTATAAGCTTTAAAATTGAGAGTTCTTGTAAAACCACTGGGAGAAGACAAAACATCAGAAGAAATGTGTTATTTGGTGATTCTGTCTCAGGCTGTCAGGAGTTAAAACAAGTGAAAAGCTTACAGAGACCAAATTGATCAGAGTCAGACTTGATTTTTCCTAATTTTGCTCTGAAATGTCTAGGTGTATTTGCTTGGATCGGCATTAATTTTGTCCTCGGGCGGTTTGAGCATATTGAAGAGGGTAAGTGCCACATTCCTACTAGCATTCTACTTGGGAGTTACAACCAGAATTTATGTTCATCCCAAGGGCAGAGAAGGAGCTAAGTGTTCTGAGATAGCTGAGTATGCGGGTTTGGGCAAGCAGAGCTGCTGTCTAAACTACAGTGGGGTTCATCGGGAGGAGTGGATGGGGTGCTTTTCAAAGCAGAGATGCCTCATAAGGCATCTGCTGAGTGCACACTTCTTTCTCCAGATGATGAAGCGGTTGTGGAAGTCAACATTCCTGGTAGTGAGAGCAGTGAGGCCATCGTTCGGAAAAGAACAGCTGGTATTCTTGACATGGGAGGCGTGTCTACTCAGATAGCGTACGAAGTCCCCAAAACTGTAAGCTTTGCCTCCTCACAGCAGGTTATTATCTGTACAAATTGCCTTCTGTTTGGTTCAGTTTTCATTTAACATGTCTCCATCCATTTTTGTTTTGTTTCCTGAGTCTGAACACATCCTTACTCTGCTTGCTGAGGTTCCACCTTCTCATCCCAGGAGGAAAGAGGCCGGAGAATGAGGCAGGCCTCAGCCAAGCCGGTCACGGTTGTACATTGAGCCTAGCTGGTTTGTCTTCTGAAGTTGTCTTCTTGGAGTTTTTCTCTGGTGTATATGTCAGTTGCATGCTTGAGCTTTTGTTCACATTTTCTCATTAGTTGCTTTTTTAAAATGCTTATAGCATTAGGTGTTAAAGTTATGATCAGGAGAATCACTTTTGTCTTTTTATAATTTTGAACTTTTCCAGAAAACATTGAGGTTGGTCTCAGTACTTCACATCTGGTTCACTCCATCTTTTGTCCATGACTTCAGTGCTGTCAGTCAGGGTCTGTGGTCCTCAGCAGGCTGTGTCTTGCCAAGAGGACACCAGAAATATTTCCACGTGTCCCAGAATTACCATGTCTCTCATTAAAGTTTCTGTCCAGATATAAATTGACACCAAAGCATGCTGTCCCACAAAGTAGGGATCATGTACCAGGTGGTGACTCAGAGTTAGGACATGGAGCAGAGCAAGCCTAGCTAGCAGCATCACCCTGTCCCTCCTAGCTGTGTGACCTCATGCTAGTCCTATCTCTTCTGTGAGCCAGTTTCTTCTGAAATTGCAAACAAAAGCCCCTCCAGCATGGGGCCATTGAATGGTTGCTGCCTGCTTAATACTCAGGCCCCCAGTGTGTGCTCAGGAGGTCTTACACTGTCTTTATTAAGCTCCTTGGAAAAGTGCTTTGGAAATTCAAGTATTTGAGCCTGTGTTAACCACTTCCCATTGCAAATATGCCTCTAGAGACTGGCACACATGCTTTCTCTCTTCACTGTAAAGTAACAAATGCTTACAGAGAAAGCTTAAGGCAAACAGAAGACTAAAAATTCCCCCTGGACTCACCATCATAAAAAAAAAAAAAAAAAAAAAAGCCTTGCTAGTGTTTTGATGAATTCTTTTTCCGTTATTTTTATTACTGTTATCATTTCAAAAGTGCGGCTTTTGTGTTTTTGCCTTTTGTATGATTGTGTGCCTTTTATTTACAGTGCACAGTGTGTTCCTCGGTAAATTCTTCTACAGCCGTTATTTTAACCCTCCTTTAATGTTGAGTACTCAGCTGCCATTTCTTTTTGGTTTTGTTTTTAATAAAGATGTCTTTATTTATTAGGACATACCTATGTTTGGGTCTATTTCCACAGTAGGGGTTAACCATAAATAGATTTGTGGGTTAGAGGGGGAGGAACTATAGTACTGACCTCCTTTTCAGAAAGTCCTACTACCCGTGTGCAGCTGCAGTTCCCCTAGTCAAAATCAGCATAACTGAATTATGAAAGAGGCTCAGAGCATCCTTGGGAGGTGGAGAGACAGAATCTGCTGCTCTGGAACCCTTCTTTTTTAACTGGAGCTAAAATTGCTGTAAAATACTGAAATGTGTTACCCTTGTGCTTACAGGAGGAAGTAGCTAAAAACCTGTTAGCTGAATTCAACCTGGGCTGTGATGTCCACCAGACTGAGCATGTGTACCGAGTCTACGTGGCCACGTTCCTTGGGTTTGGTGGTAATGCTGCTCGACAGAGATATGAAGACAGACTGTTTGCCAGCACGGTACAGAAAAACAGGTACTTGAAGGCATAGCTTGCTCCTCATCAAAACTAGATCCAGGCCGCCACTGTGCTGGACGGGCGGAGCGGCCCTCAGGGTCCTGGCACCAGCTGCCTGTCCCACCATTGTGTATGCTCACATTCTCTCTCTCTCACTTCATCTAATAAAGTGGAAACCTTTACTCTGACTACAGTTGTTTCTGGGTGACACTGGGGCTGATTGCAAAGGCCGAGGAAAGCTCAGACCATGACAGCACTTTTGGCACCACACCAGCCGGTGCCCTGATCTCAGAGTCTCAAAGAAGGAATATTCTAGAGATACTGGACACAGATAGAGGAGAACCATACTAAAAAAGGTTAAGTGTAAGGAAAGATCTTAAATCATTTTAGGGTTTTAAAATATTTTTAAACTGGGTATCATGGTCTATGCCTATAAATCATTATATTATTAGTTTGAGGCCTACATATTAAGACCCTATCTCAAAAAGCAAATCTAAACAAAACCAAAAAACCCCATATTTTTATGAGTAAAACTTAAAAAATGAGTTTCTGTGACATTCTGGGCTAGAAAACCATGTGAAAGAAGGACATCACTCCTGTCGTATTGAATTTTTAAGCTTAGCCGGATGTGGCAGTGCACACCTTTGACCCTGCCACTTGGGAGGTAGAGGCAGGTGGATCTCCGGGTGATGTTGAGGCCAGCCTGGTCTATGTGGTTTCAGGCCACACAGGAGTACCCTGTCTTTAAAAAAAAATAGTAAGTTTAACTATATACTAATTACTTACTTAAAATGTGCCCATCAGAACAGATAAATGGTCTGGAATTATCAGAGTGGAATTTGGGCATGTAAGATACCTTGTTCTTCCTGCATCTGCTCTGTTTGTTCTGATAGAATGTTTTTAAGGAGAAATGCTAATTTTAGAGCTAAGTAATAGTATATTCCCTTGGCCACTTTAGTCTTTTTCATACACTTTATTAGTTATTTTTGTGTGTGTTTTTGCCTGCAAGTATGTCTGTACATCATATGCGAGCAATGTCTGTAAAGGCCAGAAGAGGGCACTGGATCCCCTGGGACTGGTGTTACAGATGTTTGTAAGCCTCCACGTGAGTGCTGGGACTCAAACTTAGGTCTTCTGGAAGAGTAACCCATGCTCTTAACCCCTGGACCATCTCTCCAACCCTGACCAATTTAACCTCAACACATCCATGAAGGCCTAAAAGAAAGACCAAGTTGATGTACTGATGGTAATCAAAGCATCAGGTCAGGCCTTGAGATGGCTCCATAGCTTAAGGCACTTGCTGCTCAAGCCTGACGACTTAAGGGGCCTCAATCCTGGAGCCCCACATGTAGAAGGAGACAACCGCCTTCTGCAAGTTGTTCCCTGATCTGCACAACACATGCTGTGGTACATACACGTGCACACACTCGAGAAACAAATGAAGAGTCGGGCCTGCCTCTCCTTGTTTCCCTGGACTCAGCATGCCTGTGTATGTGATTGCGGAGCTCTGCAAGGGGTTGGAGGACTGTTTTCCTAATTTTGTTTGGAACCCTTTGTGTTCCTACACACAGTTCTGTGGAACCCGTGTTAGGAGAACACTGGCTTGCAGCCACTTGTCCAAAGCACAGTATAGCATAAGTCTCATGGTAAATGGTTCTTTGTGTCACAGGCTCCTGGGTAAACAGACTGGTCTGACTCCCGATGCTCCATTCCTGGACCCCTGCTTACCTCTGGACATTAAAGACGAGATCCAGCAGAATGGGCAGACCCTGTACCTTCGGGGAACGGGAGACTTCGACCTGTGTCGAGAGACCCTCCAGCCTTTCATGAACAAAACCAATGAGACACAGACTTCCCTTAATGGAGTCTACCAGCCCGCAATCCACTTCCAGAACAGTGAATTCTATGGATTCTCCGAATTCTACTATTGCACCGAGGATGTCTTGAGAATGGGAGGAGACTACAATGCTGCTAAATTTACTAAAGCTGCCAAGGTAGGCTGCCAAGGTAATATGCCAAGGAAATTCATGTTTTGGAGAGAGTATGGGCTACAGGTCCTGCCTCCATCATTCTTGGAGGGAAAGATGGTTGTAGTATGCCATTGCCATGTTCTTTCCCTTCTGTCACGGGGTAGAAAGTAGTCATAGGAAAAAATCTAAGCTCTGATAGCCACATTGGTCACCAGAAATATACAAATCAATCTTTTGTATATTGTATTTGACTTTTGATTGTCACATCTCAAAATCCTTTCAGCAGCCTCCCATCCCCATAGCAGCCAGGATATGCCTATGATCTCATTCCCTCTGCTTTCTCTTTGTCAGAAGTTTGCCCTGTCATGTGTCATCAGCCTTGATGGCCCTTGTCTTTCAGCCACAGCCCATTCCCCTTCGAGCTCATGGATTCACAGATTGTCCTACCCATGCCACAGTTCACTGGCTGCTGATGCTGTTTCTGATCTTAGCTCACTGAGTTTCATAATTCCTTTTTCCTTTTCTTTATTTTTTTGTAAGATTTATTTATTTTATGTATACGAGTACTCTGACTGCATGTACATACACCTTCATACCAGAAGAAGGCATCAGACCCCAGTATAAATGGTTGTGAGCCACCATGTGGTTGTTAGGAATTGAACTCAGGGCCTCTGGAAGAGCAGACAGTGCTCTTAACCACTGAACCATCTCTCCAGTCCTCATAATTCCAAACAAATCCACAGTTTTCCCTCTTTCTGTGTCTCTTGTGCCATCTTAGTTGGTAGCATCGCCAACATCCAGTCCCCTTCCTCCAGGCATGGCTCTTGTATTATTTTGTTTGTAGTGCTGGGGTTTAGAGAATCCCTGGCCTTGTACATGCTAGGCAACTGATGTCTCATGGAGCCGAATCCCAACCCTTTGCTTCTCTTTGTCCCTCTTTCAGCTGCCTTCCCTGGCCCCCTGTAATCAGTGACAGTTTCTCTCATGAGTATTTCTCAAGCCTATCCCTGCTTCCTGTTTTATTGCCATTGTCCTCTGTGTTTGGGCTCTCTGGTGTCCATTGTGCATGCTGTCCCAGGGGTATTCTGTCTGAAGATCTCATGCAGTCGCCTTGCTGTACTGTTTAAAACCTTCAGCAGTTTCACAGGCTGAATTCCACTGATCTTAGCCTGCCCCTCCTTCTTCCCACCAGCTCAGTGTCCTCTCAGCATGGCAAGCAGCGTGGCCGTGTGTGTGCCTTCTCTCATGTGCTTCTTCATTCTGTTTTCCCTTCCTCTTGCCGCAGGCCAAGCACGTTCCTTTGTGCTCCCTGTCACACCAGTTCTCTAAACCTCAGCCTTTTCATCTTGTAGAGAGGTGAGGAGAGGAGCCATGTTGGTAGGCCAGGTGCCCTTTGGAAGGTCACAGCGCTCAGTTAACATGACTCTGAATGACATTTCCATCACCATCCTCACCCAGTCCTTAGTCTGCCCCAGACACAAGGACTCAGTTTGAACAGGTCAAATACTGTTTCACTTTGCCAAAGTTTATTCTGGTGCCATGACATCAGAGAAGAGCTAAACAGGTTTGAAGAGGCAGCTGGTGGGCAGGATTTCCGGATAAAGAGCAGAGTCTGCTGATTGCCAGGGACTCACCAAGTCCTGGGTCTCATGTTGACTGCACAGACACTTGCTGTGCTGTATGTTTTCTCTGCTTGTTACGAATATGAACTTGCTAAACCAATTGTAAGTGGAGGAAAGAGGTTTTAGTAAACTTTAATAAGGGATGATTGATTTAGGGTGAAACTGTTTTTAGGATTACTGTGCAACAAAGTGGTCGATCTTGCGGGAGCGCTTTGACCAAGGACTGTATGCCTCTCACGCTGACCTCCATCGACTTAAGTGAGTAGTGGACAGTCAAGTCCTAACCTGCCAGGTGACCCTCCTTATTTACTGTCCTCCTTTACTATCCTTGGTCTCCTTCAAATGTGACAAGTTTTTATTGCTGGTTTTCTGCTCAGTTCTGAAGTTCTTTGCTGCAGAAATTCCCATTTCATCTGTTTGCTCACGTCCTGCCAAACATCAGAGTTGTGTGGGATGCTGTCCCTTTCAGGCTTCCTGTCCCCTCAGGCCCTCCTGCCCCCCCCCCCCCCAACACTGATGCTGCTCCTCTGGTGAATTGAAGCTGTTCTGATTTGGTTTATAAAATTCCTTTTTGTTTAAGTCACTCAAGTATAATGGCTGGGTCTTATTATTTATTGCTGTTTTTATCACTTACTTAGTCTAGTACTTTGTAAAAAAAAAAAAAAAAAAAGCCTAATAAACATTTAGGATCAGCTAAAAAAGGATCCTTCTGCCTTCTCACTTTGTCACAAAGAGGCTGGGGTCTAAAGGAGCTGGGACTTGGCACTGTTTGTTCAGTAAACGATGTACTGACGGCATATGGAGGTGGCGTCGCACAGTAACGATGAAGTGACACTGTTTCAGGCTGATCAGTTTTGACAGGTGAACTGTTCTATGTGTGGGCCAAAGACCCGGGCCAGATAAATCACTTAGCAGCACATACGCACTGCCTGCTCCGAGCCTGCCTGCTGCAGGCTGGGCGCAGTCCCTGCCGGGGCGCCCTGACAGGGCGCCTGTCTGACTTGTACCTGTGCTCGGCGTTGTAGGTATCAGTGTTTCAAATCAGCCTGGATGTACGAGGTGTTCCACAGAGGCTTCTCCTTTCCTGTCACGTACAAAAACCTGAAGACAGCCTTGCAGGTGTATGACAAGGAAGTGCAGTGGACGCTGGGGGCCATCCTCTACAGGACCCGCTTTCTGCCCTTGAGGTAGGCCATGAACTTGGGAGAATCACGAATGATGCTTCCTGCACTGCCTCCTGGTGACCGTACTTGTGGGCGTGTTGTCAGAGCTGTGGGGCCAGCCAGACTGCACTTGGGCCTTCACCACCTCCCTCCTCCAGTGCTTCCTTTTCCCCCAAGCTGCCAGTCCCTCAGAATACAGCAGTCTGGTGCTCCCTAGCCCCTGCACAAGAGTCTGCTTAGTGGTGACCCTTATGGCATTGGGCCCTGTCAGTGGATAGTACAGTGTCGAGGATTGCAGAAGAAACCACTGTACTGAAATGCATTTATGACACTGTTGTAGTACACATATCTATGATATAGGAGTACACAGGCACACTGACTTGTAATGTCTGGTAGCGGAACCATCATGTCTGTTCCTTCAGTTTGATGATGACTGACAGCTGAGGCACTGGCTATCATAAGGGTCGCAAAACATCAATCATTGTTCTTAACATTGAGGTGTTATTTAAGACTGTGACATTGTCTATGTAGATTCATGTCCCAAGGAGATACTAAATTCCAGGCCACAGATGGTCACATAAAGACATAGAGCCTTCTCCATTCAAGGTCTCAGACCTAGCTCAGCTGACCCACATTAAAAACTATATTTATCTAATATTTTAAGTTTGTCAGCTCCAGAAATTCTATGTAGTAGCTGTTACTGATTATACATAGTTCCACTTGAATGAGTTTGTGCCATTAACTTCCTTGTTAGAGCAAAACCCTGGCCCTTATGTTTATTAGATTTTTGTTGCTGAAATTGTAACGCTAGGGTCTTCCGGATATAATTTCACATGCCATTGCCTTAGTCTTAACAGCATTAGCATCAGCAGGGAACTCACTTTGGGCCTACCACCCCCCGTTTTAGAGGTAGGAAAGCCAGGGACAGCAGGCCCTGCCTGTCTTCTCACTGTTTGTTTGTTTCCATGCCTGCAGAGACATCCGGCAGGAGGTGTTCCGAGCTGGCCATGCACACTGGCGGGGTGTGTCCTTTGTCTACAACCACTATCTGTTCTCTGGCTGCTTCTTTGTCGTCCTTCTGTCCATCCTTCTCTACCTGCTGAGGCTGCGGCGCATCCACCGCAGGGCGCCCCGCACTGGCTCTCTGTGGATGGAGGAAGGCCTGCCCTCCCCCCAGAAGGGCCCTGGGCCCTTGTGACAACTGTGTCTATTGGCTTGAGGAAGACGCTACAGGAAAAGCCATTTTTGCCTCAGGGTTTCTCGTATGCTTGGATGGTTTTGTTTGTCTCCTTCCTTTCTGTTATGACAAAACCCACTGATTGTAAACCCTACTGTCTAGAGGTATTGCCATTTTGAAAACAGCTTTAAATGGGAGAGTGGAAAAAGGGAATTCACTCAATTTGTGCTGCGTAGCATCTGCCGCAAATTAGTAAGGTTTTTGGTTTTCTTTAGGACATGCTGCATTTTCAGCATATGCACTTGGATAGTGGGGGACGGGTGTCAAGGGACAAAGGCCAAGTTCCCATCAATGTAGGTGGGGCCAGTGGTCCTGGGTTAGAACCAAGAAGTGAGTTAGATCTTCTCTCTCCTCTCCAAAAACCTCCAGCCTAGAAGGAGGTGTTTGATTTTGTTTACTGCTCGGGTCTGTCACCATCTATGCTTTCTTTGAAGATTTGAGAATTTAGTCATTCATAGCAAAAATTGACAAAATGTTGGCAAGGGAGGTAATACTGAAGAGTCGTGAGTGTTAAGAACTACTGAGGAGAGCCTTGTCTTGCTACAGCTGAAGCACAGACCTGTAAATTAGCTATTCTTGTTTCTGTGTTCAGAAGCTCCGTTGCCCTCTTGCAGCAACGTTAGGGTTTTTGTGTGTTTATTTGTTTTGTTTGCTTTTAAGCCAGAAAGTTTTCAGAGTTCACTGGTTCATGGTCTGAGGACTGGTGTGTCCCCCGCAGGCGCCCCAGCACCTCTGGGGAATAGAGCTGTGCTGTTGGACTGCTCCAGTCCCGTCCACTTCCGGTTGGCACCACGCTGTTCAGATCTCTTCAGTGTTTTCCTTCAGAACACCCTACACACTGCTTGACAGTTCTTGTTGTCACCTCTGGGGTTGCAGGTGTTGTTGGCAATGCCACTGTAAGCCCACACCATGAAAGAGCCTGAATTTAGAATAAGAAATAAATGCACATGTTGAAAACAAATTTGACATTTGAAGCAGAAACTTGAAAAGGACACCTGGAGGACATGTGGGACTGGTGGGAGATTTGTTTGTCCCTTTGTTTGTTTTTTATGGTGTTCATGTAGTTTAGAAATTTGAGGATTTCTGTTCACGGGGGGTGTTTTTAGAAGGCTTTGTTTTGGTGTGGTGGTGGTGGTGGTACACATATTTCCTAGCTCCGCAACACTTGAGTGAAAGTAGTTGGTAGCAAATGGGTACTTGGAGAACCTTCAGCTGCTTATTCACAACTCAGAGATGAGAGTGGTGATTCTACCTTTAGAGAAAAGATGTGGCGTTCATGAGAGGAATGCGAATTTCTCATCTCCTCGAAGTGACCATTCCAGATGAAAAACACTAGTGGAGAGTTAAGGGCATGGTGCTGAGCAGCCCATGTGTGGCTCATGCTCCAGAGGACGTACACTGGGATAAACATTCCGTAAATCTCTCCGTAAAGAGGGTTGGTTTCGGAAGCCTTGGCCACCAGCTGCCGCAGGTAAGCCAGTCATTGGAATCCTAGCAGCCGCCATGCTGCCATCTTTCCCTTGAATTCCTGCAAGGGTTTGCCCTGTAAACAAGCTGGGCTTGGTGATAAACAGGAAGTGTCTACTAGAGTTTAGTCAGTACCCCTCTCCCACTGCCAGGTGGTAAGACCCCTGAGGCCTCATAATCTGTGCAATTAAAATCTGTAAATGCCTCGATTTGGGGGCATTTGCCTTTAAAATCAAAGCAAGGAAAAGCCAGTTTAAGAATTTCCTGAAACCTGACTTCCCTAAGACTCCTGCCCTGCTTTAACCGGAGGGTGCTGGTCTGGCCACGCTCTTGCAGCTTGGGGACAGAGTGGAAACAGTCGGTCTCCTTTCAGCCTGTAACAGGATCCCTGCAAGGACCAGCATTACTTTCCAAAGTTACCCCCCAGCTAGGGTTCCCAGGGCCACGCTACCTGTGTTTCTCCGATAGCTCCTGGAGCAAGACCTAGTCGCCATGGCAAATCTAGAAGGCTTTTAAGCTAAGAACGTTATTTTCAACATTCGAAAGGATTGCTTTAGCTGGACTTGATGGTGCACACTGTTAATCCCTTAGGAGGCAGGGACAGGCAGGTCTGTGAGTTCAAGGCCAGCCTGGACTACATAGGAAGTTCCAGGCCAGCACTAGCTCAAAAAAGAAAAGGATTGTCTTTTTATGTAGGGGGGTGGGGGCAAAGTGGGTCACACTTGTAATCCCAGCATGGGGATGCTGAGGCAGAAGGATAAAGATTTCAGGGCAGCCTGGGCTTCACAGATCCCATAACCACCACCACCACCAAAAAAAAAAAAAAAAAAAAAAAAAAAAAAAAAAAAAAAAACCCAAAACCGAGACTGCATGGTTTTGTTTGATCTAAAATAGTTACAGATGTCCCTGTATAGACAATTTTGTTAACTATTGCTATGTTGGCTTTCTGTTGCTATAACTAATTCCTGAGACAATCAACTTACAAAGAGAAACATTTTCCCTCATGGCTTCAGAGGTCTCCCTGTGGTCATTGGCCCTGTTTTGGGCCAGTGTTGAGACAGCACACTGTGGTAAGAGCAAGGACTAGAAAAGAACCACCTGCTTCTTAGTCAAGAGTCGGGGTGGGGGGGCCCAGGCCCCACACTTGCCTCAAGGACACATCACTCGTGATCTGAGAACATCCTGTTTAAGCCCTGTCTTAAAAGTTCCTCTGCCTCCCCTAACACCAAGTCAGGGGTCTAGCCTCTAACACAGAAGCCCCCGGGGATATTGCAGGTTCAGACCAGCACTCAGCCTGTGAGAATGAGCTGCTCCTCAAGGGAAACCACAGCACTGTAACTCAGCAAGTGTACTGTCCAGTCTCCAGATGGGAAGTGACCGCATGTTGGTCTTAAAACATCTGCTTAGATACGTCTTTACAGTAGATTACTTCCAAGGTTCGTTTTGTTTGTTTGTTTTCCATATCAGGAAACCTATGCTTCCCCAATTTAAGAACCACAAAAAAAATCTCTTTAGAAAGCCCACGTGGCACTGAGGGGGTTCTGAGTCTGAGAAATCCCTGCTCAGAGGTGGCCTGCAGCTCCTCACGGTGCTTAATACCATGCAGAAGGTCATACTGTGCTGAGTCGTGAGTGAGGGACAGCCAAGGACAAAGCTGCTTTGGGATAAGGATTCCTGTCACCTAGTAGCTGGCCCGGAAGCCCACGAACTGCACGTCCGAAGTAGAAAGACACTGGCCTGGGAAGTTGCTAGGAAGCTTTGTCAAATGAACACATTCTGCATGGACTCCTGGCTCAAAGGCCCAGCAGTAAATGCACACTTATGCAGCTTATATCAGTGGCTGTATTTTAAACCACTTGGCTTCTTCTCAGATTTAGGAACTTCATAGAAAAAGGCAAACACAGATCTGCATCCTCCAGGCTTTGCTCATCCTTAAACCTCCAGCTCTAGCTGTGCTTCTGCCTCAGGCATAGGCAATGATGGCTTAAGGCTGGTATCATAGGTCCCAGCCTGACCTCCCTAAGGTAGGTCACTGGTCACTGTTCCCCACCCCTGCACACTGCAGAGTAGCCAACCTTGAACAGATACTCCTTTTCATCCAAGTCTACGTGGGATGGTGTTCCTTATGAGAGAGAGCATGTGTCAGCAAGAAACCAAAAAAGAGCAAATGTGTTTGCCAAGCTTTCCAAAGGACACGTTTCTGCTTTCTACTCCTGTGTGATAATGTGCAATGCAGCAAAACTACCTTCATGTAAATTACTCATTTATTTCAGTGCTTCATCTTCTCCAGTGTTGAGTTCCCCTCTAGGTCAGTGGTTCTCAGCCCTCCTAGTGCTGTGGCCCTTTCATACAGTTCCTTGTGTTGCGCTGACCCCCCCACCATAAGATAATTTCTGTCAGTACTTCCTAACTGTAACTTTGCTGCTGTTATGAATCATAATGTAAATATCTGATACGCAGATGGTCTTAGGTGCCCACTGTGGGGGGTTGGGGCCCGCAGGTTGAGAAACTTTTCTCTAGGTGATGACTGATGTGACCAGCCTGGGAGAATGTTGTGTGACTGAGGCGTTTTTACGGTTAGCAATTACGAAACTAAAGGAGCACCTTCTAATGTTTTTGTTTTTTAGGTAACAGGGTTTTTGTTTCAAAGTAAGAATTATTGTTTTGGAAAACATTTGTATGTCTACTGTCAAGTTTTAGCCCAGGTCTACATGGGATAATCTTCCTTATGAGAAGCATGTGTCAGCAAGAAACCTAAGTCAGGTTAGGCAGCCTTCTGTCACGTACTTGAACATGGATGGATGCTGAAAATAAACGCTCATCCAGTGAACCAAAGCCTTTGTGTGCTTGTCTTCTTGTGATTTAAATAGACTTCTCTCTGAATCTCATTAGAATGACTGGCTGAATTTGAGTGGAAATTCAGCAGAATAACCTACACACACTTTGTTATTATGTTGCACATACAGCAGGGAGCAACTGTGAGTGCGGCAGGCAACGTGTTCTAGAGCACGGAAACTCAGTGCTTCACAAGGAACCAGGCTCACCAACATGCAGTACTAAGCCTGTAATGGCCAAATTGAGACAGCAACTTAGAAGGCCCCTGTGGTCTGGAGAGAGAGTTCAGTTGGTAAAGTGCTTGTCACACAGGCCTGAGGACCTGAATTTGAACTCCAGAAACCATTAAAAAAGAAAAAAAAAAAAATGCCAGACATTGTGGCAAAGGCTTGTACTCCTAGCATGACATGCGGAGACAGATCCCGGGAGCTTGCAAGCCAGCCAGCCCAGCTTGGTGAGCTCTAGGCCAGTAAGAGATCCCGCCTCAGAAACTAAGGTGGACAGCACCTGAGGAACAGTGCTGAACCTCCTGGCCTTCCCACACGTGGGCACGCACGCACACTCACACACAAAAGTAAGGTTTCCGTTTTGAAGTACCTATTTGCACACAGACAAGAAAAAGAAATGACTGGGGGCTGGAGAAATGGCTTAGTAGTTAAGAGCATTTGCTGCTTCTGCAAAGCATATGAGTTCAGTTCCCAGCACCCATAGCTGCCTGCAACTCTAGTTCCAGGGAATTTTGTGCTGTCCTCTGACCTCCGTGGCCATTTCACACATGTGGTACACATATATACATGCAGGCAAAACTCACAAAATAATGTCAATGAAAAAATCAAAACGGAGGAGCATTGGTTTGGTCACTTAACATGGTGTTGGGAGGCCACGGTTCGTCAGATCTTAGCCACCTGAAAGCAACCCTTTGAACTGAGCAACAGTTACCTGAACCGTGCTTAACTTGGGCTGGCCAGTCCAACAGACCCCTTCCACCGAACTGCACACACACTAACACACAAAACCTTTTCTACAAGGCAGCTTGACTTTTTCCAACATCAATCATAATTTCAAACAAACAAATATGATTTCCAGCTGCCCTGGCAGCAAAGCTATCAATATAGCCACCAGTATGGAAAGTCTCAGATCCCGCTTTCAGGACTGAATCTGAATTCTGCTTTCAGTTGCAAGCCTGATTAGCCCCAAATTAAATTCTTGACTGGGTTGATTTTATTCTCATCAGTATCCCTCCATAGTAATGGCAAATGCCTTTCTAGTTCCTTGGGTGGAACCAACTTTGGCTGTATTATCTCTAAGAGATGTCCAGTGGGCTCTCACTGTTCCCCTGGGGTTTGCCAGTGGCACTATGAGTTCTATGTGTTCTAATTTGGTTTCTGTTGCTGTGGAAAACACTATGTCCAAAAGCAACCTTGAAGAGGAAAGAATTTATTTTCAGTTTCCACCTCCAGGTCACAGTGCATCGCTGAGAAAAGCCTGGTCAAGAAATGAAGCAGACACCTTGAAGAAATGCTGCGTACTGGCTTGCCCTCCGGCTCATGTGGCTTTTTCATACAGCCTAGGACCATGCTCCCAGAGATGGTGCCACTCACAAAGGGTTGAGCCCTTCCTCCTCCAGACAGTCTCCCAAAGACATGGCCACAGGCCAATCTAATCTAGGTAATTCTTTAACAGGAGTTCTCTCTTCAAATGACAAGAAAAACTTAACAGAGCACTAAGCTTGAAGCCTCTATTTCCAGAGACTTTCTAATATCATTACTATTATAATATGGATGCAGAATACCACTGGCTAATTGGTTTTTGTTTTGAGCCCAGCCTTTAACAGTGGAGCCATCTCTCCAGCCCACTTAGTGCTTTTAAATGTCATCTTGCCACAACTTAGAATCACCAAGAGAATATTGACTGTGGAATTGCCTACATCAGGTGGCATGTCTGTGGGATATTGTCTTGATTGTTAGTTGATGTGCTAAAAATCAGCCCACTGTGGGCAACACCATCCCCCAGGATTGGGTATAGAACAGTATAGAAGAGAAGAAAGCTAGCTGAGAACAAGAGCCACAAGGTGTTAATGGTGTGCATTTGTTTCTCTCTGCTCCTGGCTGTCAATGTGACGTGACTAGCTGTTTAAGTGTCTACTTTGACTTGCCCTCAGTGATGGACTTGTAACCTAGGATTGCAAGCCACCTCGACTCTCCTCCTTCCCCAAAGTTGCTTTTTGGCGGGGTATTTTATCACAACAGAAGTGAAACTAGATCAATCACTTTTGCTCAGAGTTTGTTGTAAGCTAAATCTGAATAGCTACAGTGTGGGAGCATGGATTTGTGTTACTCTGGGTGATAGCTTCTGTTGTGGAAGTGATCATATGACATTTATAGTCAGAGAACAAAAGTTATAAGTCAATGCATTTGCCACATATATGGGTAGAAACATCAGTCAGGCAGTTTATAGCAGGGCAGGAAAACCTCTCCTGAAAGATTCAAATGTTATTGTCAGTCCTCAGGTTCTAGAGAGTGGGAAACCAGTTCCACAATTCTGAGCCAAATTCAAAGCAAGCTTTAACTAAATACAGGCCAGGTCTACCCCAGGTTTCCAGGGAATGGCAATGAGTCACATTTTGCAGAGGCTTAAAAAGGCAAACCCCATAAATCATTGTGTTTCCCATTAGGTCCAATCAGGAGCAAACATACATCCTGGCATATTTTTCTGCCCACCCATGATCCCACCTACCTGGTGGAAATGGATCAAACATACTGTTTAGCACAGTGAAAACATGTGGCTTGTTATTTCCCAAGAACTACAACTCCCAGCATTCCAGGAAGTTACCTTGTCCTTAGGCAAATGGGGCCTACAGGTTAACTTTGGCTCTTACAGTTGTAACGGTCTTAGCGGTAGAGATGCTGGAGGCTAGCCATTTGCGAAGGTTATCAGTGCATTCCCAAAGATTTACCCAGTGGTCACAAAGATGGGAGGTTGGTAGTAGGTGGCTGGTGAGAAGCCTAGGGAGTACAAGATAATCTTGCAACATTCCACCTCTTGATGATCAGACAGCTGGAGTCAAGTCAGTCCATCCGACAGACCTTCACCACACGTGTGACTTCTTCACAGAACTTCAGTTCCAACCACCAACTGCCAGAAAAGATCAAATTAGAAGCTAAACCTCTTCCAGCCGTTCTTAGGATATATAAACAGTTTTTCTTGAAGGCGGAGGGGTAGGCCTGAGCCGTGCTTAAAAATAGGCGTGGAGACAGATGGGAAGAGAAGGTGGCTGGTTGATGGGAACTACAGGGAAAAAAAAAAGCCTAAGACATTTGTTTGAAAGGATGTTGAGAGAAAAAAGGAAAGGGAAAGGGGCGTGGGGAGGTATGCCCTAAAACAGGGTGCCTTAACCACTGAGGGGAAGAACAGTATATGAGTGTGAAAACAGACAACCTATTTTGAGGCAGTGCAAGACTCAGTGCTTAGAGGTAAATACCTGAAATCAGCCAGTAGTGGTGGTGCATGACTTTGATTAGCACTCAGGAGGCAGAGAAAGGAGTGTATCTCTGTGAGACCTGGGCCAGCCTGGTTTATAGAGAGAGTTCCAGGACAGCCAGGGCCACACAGAGAAGCCCTGTCTTGAAACACACACACACACACACACACACACACACACACACACACACACAAAACAACAGCAATGAAAACCCCACAAAAACAAAATACCTACGTCACTAAAGATATATTGATTATTCATTTGGGTAGAAGGGAGGTGCCAGATCCAAAAGCTTCAAAACAATGTTAACAGATCATAAAACACAGCCTTGGTTTTTTGTTTGGTTTATGTATTTATGTTCGTTTTTTTTCTAGATCCAAAAATACTAATAGTCCCTATGGAGGGTGGGGTGTTGTGGCCAAGGGGCAACGAAGTTCCTGCCAGACCTGTTAGCTAGCATATCTTCTTTCAGGGGACAAAGGGGTACCCTGCTAATCCCCAAACACTTCTTGGAAGAGGCAGTCAACTTGGAAACACAATACTGCAGAGAGTCTTTGCCAGCCCACCATGTCTGGGGTCTGAAGGCCCCAACCTTCTGCCTGCCTCACCCTCACAAAGGAAGAATGTGTTGACATGCTTTCATTCTCTGCGGTATGTCCCTCTGTCTATTAAAATACCCATCAGGAATGGCTAAGACCTGCTGCAGAGCCGCTCCGGTCTTTGATCTTTACCCCCTAGCTCCCGTCCTGTTAGACAGCCTGGGCTCCAGACTTCACAGCCACTTGAACACTTCCATCAACAGCTTAGGACTGAAACATGGGAGAGACCGAAACAAAACAAACAAACAAAAATCAGGCCTTAGGAAAAGTCCAGAAAGCTCCTGGCGCTTATGGTGTTGATAGGTTTCAGAGGCGTACTCTTTGTTTAAATAATAATCTCAGCTAAATGGAGGGTGAAGGAGGGGCTTCCTTCCTGTCCAACTGCTCATCTGATAAATGTCCGAGGCACCACGTTCTTTTGTTTCAAGTCCAGAATTCCAGTAACCCTGACTGACAGGAAGGGGGCACATGGACTTATCACAAAGTTTCTGGAAGACGAGCTCTGCGCCTTCGGAGTGCTTAGCAGAGGGCTGATGTTTATTGAATTATTCCTTTTTTTTTTATTACATTGATTTATGTTTGTGTTAGAGAACAACTTGAAGGAGCTGGTTCTTTCCTTCTCCCACGTAGATCTCAGGGATGGAGCTCAGGCCCTCAAGCTTGATCCGTTCCCTGCTGAGGCATATCAGCAGCCCTTGGTGTATTATTTCTAAAAAGTTCAGCCCTCTCAGGTTTACCATTGGCTGTGTGATTTTCTCTCTTCACCCTTTTTTGAGCTAGACAGTTCTGAAAAGATTGCCCACTCTGTCTTTTGCCTTGCCTTGTCTTACACAGGACTTGAACTCCAGGGACCAGACTTGGCATTTTCTTTTCTTAAAGAGTTCATTTTCTCTAGCCATAGGTTTTACTGCCCAGATTTT